TGTGTGTGTGTGTGTGTGTGTGTGTGTGTGTGTGTGTGTGCGTGTGTGTGTGTGTGTGTCTGTGTGTGTGTGTGCGTGTGTGTGTAGACATGTATCTATGTATATGCTGTTGTATATCTGGAGTTAGTAACAAAAATCATTTCCCTCTGGGATTGTTAAAGTATTTCTGATTCTGATTCTGATTCTGAAGAGGCCCAGAGAGGAGGGGAATCCATTCGGATGATGATGACGAGAGCTAAGAGAGCTATGAGAGCAGACTGTTGTGCTCAAATCTTGATTGTTTTGGTCCAATCTGGAATTTCAATACACAGACGACGGTGTGAGAAAACAATCAGAGGCTGCATTCCCACCAACAGGATGTCATCAGTGGGAATAATCATGTTTTAAAAGCTGTTATATATATACACACATACACATATACACGTATTATAGGCCAGCAGACACATTCAAATGAGCCCGATTCAGTTATAGAGAATACAAATTTACTTATCTAAATAGGTGTTATTTACTCTTTCCTTACACCCGTTTATCAGATGCTTTCATCCAAACTGACAAGAAGCAGAAAACCCACTGAGTTTTTCACTAAGTTTCCCAAACATCCTCCAACATGTGGGCAGCTGTTTGAGTTTCAGCCCCCCCCCCAAAACCAGGACTAATCTGCCCTGTTTCCCCCAGGCCTGAGGATAAAAGAGTTATTACTCTAATCACTCATTGTTGATTCCACCGTTGGTCCACTCTTTCCTTTCTCTGGAGCCATTTCTTTCTCGAAAAGTAGAATTTAACAAGCCATTTCTAAGTATTTTTCAGACAAAGAGAAGTTAATGACCAACCTCATCATCTAACACAATGGGCCAAAATTGAAGTCCCGCACTTAAAAGTCTGCAGGCGCGTGCACGCAGGGTCCAGTCCAGCCCAGACCCCCCGTTTCTGGTTTTTGATTGGGGGAGCCCCCGGTTTGCACGTTCTCTGAGCCTGATTACAGCTGCCCGCGTGCGTAATCACCCAAATCAGAGTCAAACCGCACGCCCATCCGCCACCAGCCTGATTGCTTCTGGCCCGTGTCCTGCGTGCACGCGCGGGGAACGGGGTTACCACTTGAGCAAACTTCACCC